CCCAGAGTCCAGACCATTGTTCTGTCAGGAGTTAATGTTGCCAAAATGTTATTTTTTTTCTGATTGACTACTTCATGCAACTATTCTCCATCTTTTGGGGCCATGTAGAACATGGTGGCTGGTATTTCTTTTAATTTTTTGACATTCCTGATTGTTTTGTAAGGTGATTCAGTTAAACTCAAACCTATCTGCACCCCTTATTTGGACATCAGGCCACTCTACACTGTGACTGCAATTTGTATTTAATCCTGCTTGTTAAGGCCTGTGTTTCTTTATAAAGCCTGAACCAGTATACCAACTTTCTGGCATACAACAGTTCCGCAGTGCTTTATATGCTTATAAAGATGGCTCCTCATCTAATAAGAATAAGCATCTACTAGCATTCCTTAAGCATGGTTATAAATGCAAACTTAGCCTGCATACCTAACAACTGCATGCCCAATATAGATGATACATCATACATATAAATCTCCGCACAGTCTCAGTGTAGAGATAGCTGACTCTGTGTTCTGCACAGTAGTAAGTCAAATTTCTTTCTATGTGTGTATTTCCAGGTTTACTTTGCAATATATATTTTGTATGTGCTGAAATTGAACTCTGAAATATTCTGTATCATGGCACTGCTTGAATTCTAAGGCGTGATGAAGCAGAACCGTTTATTCTTCCTGCAGTAACAACGTGATAAAATAATTGTCATTAGCAATAGGTTGCTACTAATTTTTAATTTCTGTTTGCTGAAATTTATTTCCCACTGACACTCTTATGTAGATGGTGTACTTTGCTTGCTCATTGGAATTGCACATTGCATCCCAGGTGATAAGGAGCACTTTTATAATGGAGTTGAGACCGTTACCTTAATGCCAGTGGCTGCTCTGAAGGATCTTCAGAATTTCTCCAACTCTAGAGCATTCTACATTATGTTTAATGGATGTTTTCAGTCTTTAAATTACATAAGCAATGTGGGTTTCATCATTTCAGAATAGAGCAGCAAATCCACAGGGATATAAGCTAGACTACAAAATTGCATTATGTTATTTAAAAATGATGGTACCCAATTTTTCATTTTTGTTCTGGCTATGCCACAAAATGTTTTCATTTTTATTTATTATTTATTACAATGGGATGCCAACTTCCCTCCAAAGAGCTCATTATAATCTTAAAAGAGCAATCTGAATTTCATCTTAACAAGCTTTTAAGGTACCTATTTCCAACCTTGTACCTCCAGGATGTGTTGGAACTGAAACTCTCAGAATTCCCAGGTAATTGTTGTTGTTGTTTAGTCGTTAAGTCGTGTCCGACTCTTCGTGACCCCATGAACCA